AAATTACGAATTTGTCAACCCAACAGAAACTTTTGATCGGTTTGTTTGAAGAAGTGAAACAATTAAGAGTACAATTAAACATGAAGGATAAAAAAATAAATGAACTCGAGCATAGGGTGGATGAATTGGAACAAAACTCTAGGCAAGACAACATAATCATATCTGGTCTTGCGTTAAAATCTTCATATTCAAAGGCCACTTCAGGAGAAGGTATTGCTGAAGATGCATCTCCACAAGAACAGAGGACTCTCGAAGAACAGGTGGTGACTTTTCTACAGAACAAGGAAATAGACATTAAATATGAAGACATTTCTCTATGTCATACATTGCCTAACAAAGCTGAGAAATCTAAACCGATTATTGTGGTAAAATTCATTAGTAGGAAATCTAGAAATGCAGTAATCATGCAGGCAAATAAACTTAAGGGAACTAATGTGTTTATTAACGAACATTTGACAAAAAGAAATGGTATCATTGCACGCGAAGCAAGGTTGCTACGGAAAAGAAAAAAGATAGTCTCAACGTGGACAAGAAATGGAAAGATATGGATTAGAGTACAGGAAGGGTTGCAAGCGAAAATAATACAAGATGTGAAGGAATTGGAAAAAATTGGATAAGCATTTAAGATAAGATATATTAGAAAACTATGCCCGATGATTCACATATAAGGATGAATAAGTAAAATGGTTTAACGAAAGACAATAGCTTACTCATGACGAATGAGGATTTGGAATTTAAAATATATAATGTTGATGAAGAACTAGATATAAATCTTTTTCCAGCTAAAAAAGACAGTAAATACTACAATGAAGAACAGTTTAAGGAAGTTAACATGACAAATTATGATCTTTCTATAATTCATTTGAACTGTAGAAGTATAAATGCAAATATATCTTACATGCTAGAAAATCTCCAAAACATAAAAAAAACTTTTACAATAATAGCACTATCGGAGACATGGCTTAATGATGAAAATATAAAAAACATCCACATTGAAGGATATGATTTCCATTATATAAACAGAATAAATAAAAGAGGTGGAGGAGTAGCTATATTTATAAAAAAGGAAATAAAATGTAAGTTAATTAAAGAAATGTCTATGGTTGTTGATAATATGATGGAAATGATTACAGTGGAAATAATAAACAAAGATGGAAAAAATATTATAAGTTGTGTGTACCGATCGCCAAGTTCAAAGATAGAGACATTTACAGATAAAATATTAGAATTATTGGTTAAGAGTGGAAATAAAAAAGTTTTTCAATGTGGTGATTTCAATATCGATTTGGGCAACATGGCAGACTCTAATAATACCAGTATATTTATGAACTTGATGAATAGTTTAAATTTATATTCGTTGATATTAAGGCCGACAAGAATAACAACTCGCAGTGCTACGTTAATCGATAATATATTCACAAACATAGAAGATGATGATGTGATAAGTGGAATATTGATGATGGATATCAGTGATCATTTACCAATTTTTTTCAATTTATAAATGTGATGATAATAAACCAAAAAAATAAATAAATAAATACAAAAATAAACACATCAAAACAAGCATTGGATAAATTTAAAGAAGATTTAGATAAACAAAAATGGGATGAAGTATATGTGGATGATGTAAACAAATCTTATGATGAATTTATGAGGATCCTTGAAGTTTTGTTAAAAAAAATTGTGTAAAAAAAATCTACATACAAGATAAGAAAGTCGATCATCCTTGGATGACTAAAGGATTGAAGAATGCATGTAAAAAAAAGAATAAACTTTATTCATGGTTTATGAAATCTAGAACATTAAATGCTGAAAAAAATACAAAAAGTATAAAAATAAATTGGTAGGGATAATAAGAAAACATAAAAGGGAATATTATAGTCAATTATTACATAAATGCAGTGGTGATATGAGAGCGACTTGGCGAGTAATTAACAATGTTTTAAGTAAACAAAATGGTAATAGGGGATTGTCACAACATTTTGTTGAAAACAATGTGGAAATTTATGATGATACAGAGATTGTAAATGGATTTAATAATTATTTTGCAAATGTGGGATTAAGTTTTGCAATGTCAATTCCTAAAGTAGATGGTAATGTGAATTATTTGATCAATGGATGTGCAAACAGTTTGTTTCTTAACGGTACTAGTAAGGAAGAAATTATGAAGGTAGTTGGACAATTTGCTGATAAAAGATCCAATGATTAAGAAGGAATGAATATGTGGATTGTGAAGGAGATAATAAATAATGTGTTGGAACCATTTACATATATCTGTAATTTATCATTTTCTAAAGGCATTTTCCCAGAAAGAATGAAAGTCGCAAAGGTGATTCAAATTTTTAAAAATGGTGAGAAAAGTTTGTTTAGAAATTATAGACCTATATCGTTGTTGCCACAGTTTTCTAAAATTCTTGAAAGATTATTTGTGTCCAGGCTGGACAAATTTATAGATAAACATAATCTTTTGAGTAATGAGCAATACGGTTTCAGATCTAACAATTCAACATGTCTGGCTCTTATGGATTTAATGGAACAGGTTACTACAGCGATAGATGAGAAGCAATATTGTGTAAGTCTATTTGTTGATTTGAAAAAGGCTTTTGACACCATTGATCACACAATTTTGCTTGAAAAATTGAAACAATATGGTATTAGAGGTCTAGCCATACAGTGGATATCTAGCTATTTAAACAGAAGAAAACAGTTTGTACAGATTGATGAGGTTAGATCTGGTTTGTGTAATGTGTCATGTGGAGTACCTCAAGGTTCAGTTCTTGGGCCTAAGCTGTTTATTTTGTATGTAAATGATTTAGTTAAGGTGTCTAGTATTCTCAAGTGTGTTTTATTTGCAGACGATACTACTTTCTTTTGTTCGGGTAAAAACTTAAATCAGATGTTTGAATTAATGAAGATTGAGTTTGTAAAAAATCATACTTGGTTTAAATTAAATAAATTATCACTTAATTTAGAAAAAACAAATTATGATACTTTAGCAGATTAGATTGAGAGGAATACGTTCTCGGAAGATCCTGGTTTGAGTTGTTGGGATGATATTTTTTAAATGATCAAGATGGTGATTGCTCTTCATAACGTTGGCATCAATGATTTCATTGGAATCGCCTTCTTTTACAGCTGGAATTAGTTTTATCTTACCAAT